TTGATAGGATGAGAAAAATCGGATGAATCTACCGCGAGTACATGGGAATATACACTACTAAGCCCATTGATAGGATGAGCAAAATCGGATGAGTCTACCGCGAGTACATGGAAATATTCACTACTACCCCCATCGATAGGATGTGCAAAATTGGATGAATCTACCGCGAGAGCATGGAGATATATACTACCTCTATCACGTTAGTCGTTACGGGACGGATCTGAGATTTGCACGGTGACACTTAGAGTAGCAGCGGGTTCATTAGTGGTTACGCGACGGGATTGGGATTGCGCATGGATGAACGAACCCGCGTGCGGGGGATAAGTATGGATCACGCGGGATAAGCTGCACGCTAGGACAGTCTCTCGGGGGAAAAGAAGACGAGCGCGCGGATCGGGGGAAAAGGAATTGCGCAGGTAGGAAATGCTGCGCTAACGCGAGAGAAAGGGAGAAAGAGGGAAAGCACCCGAATGAATCGGGTCTCTGACGTGCGCCAGATTCATTCACAACCAAAATCGTGTAAACGCACGAGCAGTGCACACGAGGAGAGAGAGGAGCTCGTCCAGGGGAAAGCTTTGTGAGCGAGAGCGCAGTGACAGTCGGGGCAGCGCGAATCTGTGGCGACAGATGGATCGCGCGCGCGCGGGAGAGCGAGCGAGCTAGAGAGAGAGAGAGAGGTGGCTCTTCGATGATGATGGCAAGATTATTCCGCCATTGTCATTTGCAAGCCCGGAGTGCTCTGACTTGGTGTGTATCGAGTCGTAATTCCGCCCCTGATTCGATTATCTACTTTCATATATGCCGCGCGACTTATTTTCTAGATGTCGAAGTGAAGAGACCCTATCAAGCGCGGGTAAAAGGCAGGAATACTCATGAATGGACTAACGAGATTTCACTGCCCCTATCTACTGAAACAGGCTTAGGAAGTTCAGTGGGAAAGCCACAGTCCCTTTCCTTTCTGCAAGAACGGAATAACGGGATTTCCACTGTCCCTTTCCTTTTCGCAAAGCCACAGCCAAAAGAACAGACTTTGAAGAATCAACGGGAAGGGGGCGATGGACTCAACGGATGTTGACGCACCGTGAACGGGAAGGCAAGCTCGACAGTTGAACTGCAGCAGCCTACATGAGCGAGCTGAACCGCTCGACTCGGGGTAGTGGGTCACCCGCAGGCCAATGGAACGGACCTGAGAGAGAAACCGGACCGGATTGCTCCGGGAAAGCGTCCCCGGAGAGTTGTTTATTTCCCCCAACTCCCGCCATCAACTGTGCAGCTCCGGTGTGTGTTGAGAAAATGAGTGAGGAATCAGAAAAAAATGGAGCCGATAATACTAACCTTGATATTAAAGTCTCGTCGAGGGGCGAAGGGCCGATGGTTATTCAGGAAACGTGGGTAGATCGAACCACGACACAGGAAGAGATACCAATGATTGAAGAATGCAGAGGCTTGAAAAAGATTGGCGATACTCAAAACAAGGGGGCAGAGGATTCTGACACAAGCTATGAGCTTGCCCCAGCGTTTAAGTCTGTAGAGCCGGATATCAGCTATGGGCTGGCTCAACTTTCTGAGACCATCGAGCCAGATGTTAGCTATGAGTTGGCTCAACTGTTTGAGACCCCCGATCTAGACATGGGTTGTGAGTTTGCCCAGCCATTTGAGTCTGTTGACCCGGATGTCGGCTACAAGCTGACTCATCCTTTTGAGACTGTCGAGTCGGACGTCAGCTATGAGCTGGTGCAACTATTTGGGACCATCGAACATGATGACGACTATGACTTGGTTCAACTCTTTGAGGCCTCCGAACCGGATATGGACTATGAGCTCCAACTGTTTGAGACCGTCGATACGTATGAAAACGATGTTGAGAGCTCTCTTACGACAACAATAAGTCGTGATCTGGCAACTATGAAAGATATCGAGGGCTCTCAAATGGATCAATGCAAGTCAATAAGTAAGTGCGAAGTGGTGAGTATTGGGGGTGAATTCGTTGAAGATTGTTTGGGGAGTCAGGAGAGTGATAACCCACTTGCGTTTGACCAAGAAGAGGAAGAGAGGACCGTGATGGAAGTGAAATTTATTGTGAATGCCGACAGACCAGAAAACATGTCGATGAGAATTATGAAAATATCGGGACTTGAGGAGAGATTAGAAGCGGGGAAACCCGCTGTGGGTGTGAGGAGATTCGAGGACAAGGACTTGGTCGGAACTGAAAATTGGGTCGCAGGTTCGGGAATTGTGGTTGAGATACGAGAACGGAATCTAGAGTTGGGTTTTCTTTTGTTGTTGACCCTTGTCTCTTCGTGCACTCATGCATGTGGCCGGTGTTGCTGCTCTTGCTTCGGCCAATCGGTTTACAACGCTTTCTTTACTAGTGGTGGTATAAAGGGGGTACTACACTCCTTGGTGGGGGTATGGATCCGTCTAAGCCTGTCGTGCGGGGCTTTTTCTGCGAAGCCTTCCTATACTCCTTTGATACTCTCATTGAGTGGATGGAGACGAGATGGGAGGAGGACGAATGCGCTCGAGGATGAGGATGCTGGGCCTGGAAGGTTCAAAAACCTGACATTGAAAGAGGGGGGCGGTCTACCATTTATTAGACTAATAAAGTCGACCAGTAAGCGTAAAAGCATGGGTAGACCATACTTCCACAAGTGGCGAGACAAAACCAAAGCCCGTTAGAGCCTGGCAACGCGCGAGTGGTGGAGAGAACAAGCCAGGGATAAAAAGAGGAAAGCAAAAAGAAACAATGGTGGAAAGAGAGGTAGGACGAGCGAAAAGGAGAAAGAAAATTAGAAGAGGGATATGTCTCTTGGGGTTGATCGGGTACAGATTAGGTGTCAGCCGATTAAATCTTTCCTTCTCGATAATCAGACGATACTCCAAGAGTGCTCGCCAAGGACGTCGAGAATGGGGGGGGGGGCTGCTGTCGGGCGGCTTCAGCCCTACACCGCCCTTTACTTCCTTTACAAGGGCACACAACGAGGTTCCCATTTGTTGGTTTTTATCTGGCAGGGGCTCACCGGCCATGGGAAAATGTCGCGACAGGTTGACGGAATGAGTGGTCGGGCTACGACGTTCAGTTCGAGCAGGGCTCGAGCGTTGAACAACGGTATCTTTGTGGAGAGAGCCTAAGACGTAAGTTACCGACGAACGCAAAACAACCGCCGAGGGGTCGGACAAGGAGGCATGGCCGCGAAAGGTCGGAATGATACTAAAGGTCGGCAGAATAGTCGAGGGAACGGAGGCGCTGGGCGTTTATCGTGAGGCTACGGATGTCTTTAGCGGCGGCGGTGTCCGGAGTTGCCTCGAGTAACCAAATTCTCAAGAACACCCTGCGTGCACAAGCGGTGGGATCGGGCCTACGCGGGGGCCTCGACACTAAGAGGAGAAGGGTGCGGGACTAGGGCTCGGAAATGGGCCTCCCGGCCTAGAGTTTTTGGCGGGCCTGCGTGACTTTCACAAGGGGGGCTGGTACCACTTATGAGTGGGGACCACCAAGACCGAGATTGGCCCGGGGCAGGTTTGGAAATAGGTCCGGTACGGGGGCGCTGCAAAAGGCCCGGTTCCCGATAAAAAGGCTCTCCTCGACAAACGATATTTCCGGGGCCCAAACAGGCTCGGGCATAGGCCAGGTACCACGGCGCTGCAAAGTTCCTGACTCGGATCGGCAGACGGCGGGTGAGAGCTGGCTGCTGGGAGCTGGTACCGTGGGACCAGAAAACTTTATAAGCCCAAGAGGGTTCATTCTCGGGGGATTCTGACTTGCGCACAGGAAGCGTGCACAGGCTGGCACACGAGGTGTGCTGGCTCAGAAGGGCACGGGACAGGCGGACCGGGCTAGCACACGGGTGCTGGCTCACAGAAGCGCGGGGTGTGACTTGTGGGCGACACGGCGAACGGGTACATGAGTGCAAGGGAGGGGCTCCCACAACCCGCTAACCACCATGCCCATCATCCAAACGACGAAGACGATCCGGCGGAACGGGCCATCTAGCTCAAGGAAGGGTTGTCCCATCAGAAACGGGCGGCTCACATTCAGAGCACGAACTATCGATCGAAGTTCGAATCGGATCAAGTGCGCAGATATGAGTGGACTCATCGAGTTTGCTCAATCGTCACGACGAGCTGCATCAGTTGAAGATGCGCACGAACGGGCTTGCCTGTGTGGGGGAGCATAGAGATGCGCGCAAGAAGCAGGAGCTGTGCACGAAGGAGGAGGAACTGCGTGCAAGAGACAATGCGCGAAGCTAGAGCTGCGCGCGAAGGGGAAGGACCAACGCGCGGAGTAAAGGGGTTCGCACGAGGGAGATAGGAAGCTGCGCAAAGGGGGACGATCGTGCGTAGTGAGTTACTGTGTGCACGCGCCTGAGAGAGAGAGAGAGAGAGAGAGAGAGAGAGAGAGAGAGAGAGAGAGAGAGAGAGAGAGAGAGAGAGAGAGAGAGAGA